TATATATATATATATATATATATATTTATGCATATGTATACATATATATATATATATTTATGTATATGTATACACACACATATATATATATATATATACATATCTATATATATAAGATCTCTCCTCATGCTTCAGGTGTCTCCTGACCTTTCAGATGTCTCCTGATGTTTTTCTGTCTCCTTTGTTGCAGTTATTAATTCTTTTTCCGCCAGTCTTCCTCCTCACAGTGCAGCCAGCGAGCAGCTTCGGTTGCTGCAGCAGCAGCAGCAGCAGCAAGAACTGCTGCTGCAGCAGCTGCGCGGCCAGACCTTTCCCTCCCCCACAACAACAAGAAATCTGCAGCAGCAGCAGCAGCTGCAGCAGGTGCAGCTGCAGCAGCAACAGGTGCAGCAGCAGCAGCCGCAGCAGCAGCACGCACCTATATCGATGACCTTAGCAGATTTCCAAATGATGCAGAAGCAGAAACAAGAACAGAGGCAGCAGCAGCAGGAGCAGCAGCTGCAGCAGCGACTGCAGCAGCAGCAGCAACTGCAGGAGCGCAGGCAGCAGCAGCACGAACAGAGGCAGCAGCAGCACGAACAGAGGCAGCAGCAACACGAACAGAAGCAGCAGCAACAACATGTGAAGGTCATGACTCTGGCAGACTTCCAGAGGATACAGCAGCAGAAGAACCAGCAGCAGCAGCAGCAGCTGCAGCCGCAGCAGCCGCAGCCGCGGCAACAGCAGCAGCAGCAGCATCAGCAGCAGCTGCAGCCGCAGCAGTCGCAGCCGCAGCAACAGCAGCACCAGCGGCAGCAGCATCCACCACCAAAGATGACGCTGCAGGAGTTTCAGAAGCACCAAAGGCTCAGAGGACAGCAGACTCAGCAGCTGCAGCAGCAACAGCCGCTGCCAGCTCTAGAGCAGCAGCAGCTCCTACAGCAGCTGCCCCGAGAGCAGCAGCAGCAGCCTTTACCGCAGCAAATGCTACAGCCGCAGCAGCCTCTGCAGCAGCGACCTTATATGCAGCAGTATGAGCATCCCACACAGCAGCAGTTGCAGCAGCAGCTGCAGCAGCAGCAGCAATACCAGCAGCGGCTTGCGCAGCAGCAGCAGCAGCAGCCCAAGCAGGAAGAGGCTCTCTCGCTGCTGCGTTTGCCGGGGTGGCTGCCGAGTTGGCTGAGGCCTTCAAGCAGCAGCAGCAGCAGCAGCAGCAGCAGCAGCAGCACAACCACTACATCCACAACCTCCACTGTCTCTTCATCTACAGCTAATGCCCTCACACTTCAGAATCTCTTTGACGCAGTTACAGCGCAGCAAACCTCCAGTACAACAACCCCACCAACTACCACCACCACAACCACCAGCAGCAGCAGCAACAGCAGCAGCAGCAGCAGCAGCGACAGCAGCAGCAAACCTGTTCTCAGGCCCCTAGCCACTCTCTTCCCCAACTTGTTCGGTCCAGGGAAGAAAGCAGAAGCAGCAGAAGCAGACGAAGAAGCAGCAGCAGCAGCAGAAGCAGCAAGTGCTGATGAAGACGCTGCAGCGCACCCCACGCCTCCAGAAACAGAGGCTGCAGCAGCAGCAGCAGCTGCAGCAGAGCAGCAGCAGCAAGACCCGTTGCTGCACCCAGATGACCACCATTATAGAGACCTTCTACAGCATAAGCCAAGCCCTATCTCAGGCATCCTTGACTTAATAGAGGCGGAGCTACCAGAAGAAATGCAGCAGCAGCAGCAGCAGCAGCAGCAAGAGGAAGAACAGAAGCAGCAGCAAGAGGAAGAACAAGAGCAGCAGCAAGAAGAAGACCAGGAGCAGCAGGAGGCGGAGCAGCAGCAGCAGCAGGAAGAGGAAGAGCAGCAGCAACAGGAAGAAGAGCAACAGGATCAGGAAGAGCAACAGGGAGATAAGCAGATGCAGCAAGAAGAACAGCTGCAGCAGCAAGAGGAACAGCAGCAGCAGCAGCAGCAAGAGCAGCAGCAGGAAGTGCCTGCTGAGCCCTCCGGGGACCCCGCAGCGATTTGAATCATACTAAACCCTAAACCCTAAACCCTTTCAAAGGCTTGTTCTTATTTTAATAAAACTCAACCCTTCTAAACCCTAAACCCTAAACCCTTTCAAAGGCTTGTTTTTACTTCAGTAAAACTAAACCCTAAACCCTAAACCCTTTTAAAAATTTTAACTAGACTGCATATTCCTAAACCCTAAACCCTTTTAAAGGCTTATTCTTTTCACGGAGACTCAACCCTACTAAACCCTAAACCCTTTTAAAGGCTTGTCTTCGAGACTCTATCTTACAAAACCCTAAACCCTAAACCCTGCTGAGGCCTCTACAAGGTGCTCTTCAGCCTCAAAAAAAAATTGTATTGTAAACCCTAAACCCTAAGCAAGACACCACTAAACCCTAACCCTAGACAACAAACCCTAAACCCTATTCCTGATAATGTCGCTTTAAACCCTCAACTCAAATACAAACCCTGCTATAAACATAAACCCTAAACAACTGAATCCACTGCTCTGCTGCAGCAGCAGACATGCTTTGAATTGCTGCAGCAGCAGCACCCGACCTAAATGAACAGCAACAGAAGATTAATAATAAGTCTGCTGATTTGCTGCAGATGAAGACAGCAAAAGAACCGTATTAGTTGAGGTGTATATGCATACACCGCAACGAAGAGCATTAAAGCTGCAAGCAACATAGATACATAAATATACTAGCAGCAATAAACAGCTGCTAGTATAAAAAGAAAAACATATAATGATATGGTGGCTTCTAGAGAAGCCTAAGTGGATGAGAACTGATCGCTGTTGAGGTGCCTATACACCTCAAAAGCGCGTCTTCTCCGTAGACTGCTTCGGCCCAAAGAATATAACTCAAAAGAATTATAAGAATGTCTTGAATCATTCAAACCCGCGATTAAGCAGACAAACAAACAGCTGATACTACTTCAGCCGCTGTCGTCATTCTAAGCAAAAAGAAGAAGTGAAGAAGAGGGACGGGTCTCTCCTTCATAAACCGCTACAATTGCTGCAGCAGCAGCATTTGTTGTTGCTGCTGCTGCAGTTGTTGCTGCATAATAATATACTCTGCAGGAACAAGATCAATAGCAGCAGTAAAACAGCTTCTTCTTCGCCTACTGCGACATCTTCTTACTCTTGCTTTTCTTAGGTAAGAGAACTGAATGCACATTGGGCATGACACCACCGGAGGCAATTGTAACACCTCCTAAAAATTTGCTGAGCTCTTCATCATTTCGAACAGCAAGTTGAATATGACGAGGGATGATCCTTGTCTTCTTATGATCTCTTGCAGCATTGCCTGCCAGCTCTAATATCTCAGCACAAAGGTACTCAAGTACCGCAGCCATATAGACAGGGGCTCCAGCACCTACTCTTTTAGCATATCTGCCTTTCTTTAGATATCTGCCGATCCTACCTACAGGGAACTGAAGACCCGCCTTAGCAGACTTGCTGGTGCTCTTTCCGGATTTCTTTGAGCGACCTCCTTTACCTTTAGCTGACATTTTCTCCAAATATATTTCTAATCACCCCGCAATATATCTATATTTTATTTTATTTCTCAAACCAAGAAAAAAAAAGAGAAAGAAATATCTGCTGATACACCCCAAACACAAACAACAGACACAGCACCCAGACACCCCAGCACCAAGGGGAGGGGGGTGTACGGCGAAGGTGCGTATATCAGTCTCGCTTCTTTCTTGAGCAGTAATGGCTAGCTGCTCTTGATATTCGCTAGCTAATGCATTAAAAAATATAAAAATAACAAAAAGTGAGAAGAAATGACCCCTAATACGCACGGGTGCGGCGGGGAGAGCAGCAGCAGCACCCGCTGCAGCAGCAGCAGCAGCAGCAGCAGCT